GGTTTAGGGTTTAGGGTTTACACGAAAGAAGCTCGAACTGATGGTTCCTCGCTGTAATCGGAGTATACTACCCGCGTTTCAGCGTTGAGGGCTTAGGGGCCTAGTTCGAGGTTCGCGGGTTGTGAGGACGATTTTTTCAGCTTCTGGGTTTCTGTGGTATCTGGGTTCATGTTTAACGCCTTTTTTTGGGGTTCCTTTAAAGGACTCCTCTAAAGGCTCCTTCAACAATTTCATGGCACTTGGAAGTAGGTGTATTAGTACCTGTAGGTCTGTTCCGAAGGCTGTCTGCTTGAGCCTTTGGAGCTGAAGGTTTCAGGACTTGGGGCTGCGAGGCTTCCTCGGTTCAGGGTTTCAGGGTTTCGAGTTNNNNAACCCTACTAAACCCTAGTAAAACCCTACTAAAACCTACTAAACCCTACTAAATGGGTTTAGCGTTTTAGCCGCTATGAAGAAAGGCGCAGTTCTCAGATGCCCGAAAACCCAAATGTAGGGAATGCCGGCCCCTAAACCCTAAACCCTAAACCCTAAAACCCTAAAGCCCTAAAACCCTAAAACCCTAAAGCCCTAAAACCCTAAAACCCTAAACGCTAAAACCCTAAGACCCTAAACCCTAAAACCCTAAAACCCTAAACCCTAAACCCTAAACGCTAAACCCTGAACCATCTCGTTTCCGGCGTCAACTTTTCAGAGCTTACTGTATCCCACACAGTGCCAAGGCCACGAGACCTAAAACCCCAAAATCCTAAGCTCACCCCAAACCCTAAAGTAAACCGTAAAATCCTAAACCCTGAAAACCTAAAATCCTGAACCCTAAAACCCTAAAGTCCTAAACCCAAAACCCTACAAGCCCTAAAATCCTAAACCCTCCTAAGCACTAAGTCCGAAATCGTATACGCCTTCGTAGCCACTGCCTCAGGTTGCGGGCTCCTTCACTACGAAGGCTTGAACCGACTGTTTGGAGGGAGCCGGAGGGCCGGAACGTTTCGGCTCTTCAGGGGCTTCTGGGGGTTTAGGTTAGGGTTTAGGGGACTTGGACGTCTTGACAAAAGACATTTTCAGTGGAACGCGAGCTCTCCCGACGACAGGGAGCATAGTGCAGTTGGCCCAGCACTTCTTCTATGAAGAGAGCACCGATGAATGGTCATTGCCACGGTCTTGGCCGGCACCCATACCAGCTGCTAGGCTGAACAAGTGTAGTGCAGTGCCAGAGAACGGACTGGACAAGCAAGACCTGGCCTTGCGCTTTGCGGTCCATTGCGGAGACGGCAAGCTTGAAGGTCCGTATGGCAGTGGCATGCGTGACGAGCTGGCAGCTGCACTGCCAATGCCGCACGCAGCGGCCGCAGCGTGCTTGAAAGTGCAAGGGCAGACCCTTTTCGGGTCGTTGGATTGGTTGGTTTAGGGTTTAGGGTTTAGGGTTTAGGATGTTGAGGTTTTGTTATTGGGGTTCTGGAGATTTTGGGGGCGTGGATGTAGGACGTTCAGTCGGCGATGGTTCAGCTCCAGCTTGAGTTCGGGTTTAGGGTTTAGGGTTGAGGTCTTTGGGCTTTGGTATGTAAGTCTTTAGAAAGGTAGGTTATTGGGGGTTAAGGAAAGCCCTGAATGCTAGACCCTAAGCCCCGAAGCCCTGAATCCTAGACGCTAAACCCCAAACCCTAAACCCAAAACCCTAGACCCTAAAGCCCTAAACCCTAAATCCCTGAAGCCCCAATCCCTAAAACCCGAAAGCCCTAAAACCCTAGACCCTAAAACCCTAAAACCCTAAAACCCTGAAGCTCGGAATCCTCGACCCTGAGCCCCGAAGCGCAGACTGGCTGGAGGCTCTAAGCACGGTGACAATCCAGCAGTTTAGGGTTTAGGGTTTAGGATTTAGGGTTTAGGGTTTAGGATTTAGGGTTTAGGATTTAGGGTTTAGGATTTGGGGTTTAGGGTTTAGGGTTTAGGGTGCCTGGAATGGTAACAGGGAGATGGTGCCACAGGCCACTTTGTCGAGTCCGAGCCAGTCGGGCAAGGCATCAGCGATCGCCCGCCTCCACCTCCGGCTAAGGCTAGCTTTCCTTCAACCTCGGCGGGCCCATCTGAGCGGATTCGTTGCGGCATGAGGTGCCCTAATCCTCTATGCCACCGTAGATGCAAGAGATCAGGCCGCCACAGCGGGCATAACTGCCGACCGTGCCATGATGCCGGCTGGTGAGTAGGATTTGGTTAATCCAGCGATTGATGCTGGAGTGTTAGGGTTTAGGGTTTAGGGTTTAGGGTTTAGGGTTTAGGGTTTAGGGTTTAGGGCTGGCAGGTGAATTTTGCGAGACATTCCTGTGGCCCTCAAGCCCTCAATTCAGACCTTTAGGGCTTGTGGGTTAGGGTCTTAGGGTTTCGTGTTCCCCTAGATGGGACTCTAAGGGTTCCTTTAAAAGGGCTCCATAAGGGTACTAGAAGGGTTTAGGGTTTAGGGTCTAGGGTTTAGGGTTTAGGGTCTAGAGGCCTTACCATTCACCACAACCACAATCACAACCATCTCGCCCAATATGAGCCGTCATATTCTTAGCAAGAGCCAGAACACATGAAATCAAACCCCAAACCCTAAGCCTGTCAGGGTTCCGTATTCTAATTATAGTCGAGTACAGTGGGCCCCGAAATCCTCTCCTAATCATGAATTAAGCCCATACCTTCGGCCAGGTGGTTCATGAAGGCCGAGCCGAACCCCAACACAGCCTCACCAAGGCCTCGCGGCAGTTGCGGGTTTGGGATTAGAGTTTGGGGTTAGGGGTTTAGGATTTAAGGAACCCTAAAGGGTTTAGGGTTTAGGGTTTGCTTTCATGTGGTTCTGGCTCTTGCTAAGAATATGACGGCTCATGTTGGGCGAGATCGTTGTGATTGTGGTTGCCGTGAATGGTGTTGTTGCGGTTGTTGCTGTTCTCGTTGTCGGTGTCGTGGTTCTAATTGTTACGGGAGGTTCGTTTAGGGCTCGGATGCCTGCTTAGGTTCGGGTTTAGGGTTTAGGGTTTAGGGTTTCGGGTTTCGGGTTTCGGGTTTAGGGTTTCGGGTTTAGGGTTTAGGCGGTTTGCAGATCGGGGTGCAGCGGTCAGATGCTCGGTGCGTTGGCATGCAAGGTTTGCGGCTTGTGGCACCGGATTTCTAAACCCGAAACCCGAAGCCCTAAACTCTAAACGCTTAAACTTAAATCCTGAAACTCCAAAACCGCCAGACTCCAATCCCAGCTATGATTCTGAGTCCCTGCTGATGATTTTTCCATAAGCACTGCTGAACCATTTCAGCAGCGATGTGCCCGAAACCCTAAACCCAAATCATTGCAGGTCCTTCGCATGAAGAAGCGGCCGAGCAGGCGCGGCCGTTCAGAAAGCGCCAATAGATAGAAGCTGCATAGTGATGGAACGTTGGGGGGTTTCCCTGAACCCTAAACCCTAAAGCCTAAACCCTAAACCCTGAACCCTAAACCTTGAGGGTTTTGAGGATGCGCGGTTTCCACTTACGCTCTTTGTATTTTTTGCGAGCTGGGGTCTGGTGCTTTAAGGTTTACAAGGGTTTGGGTTTAGGGTCTAGGGTCTAGGGGGGGTTTGAAGCTTTGACTCTTTGTGGGGTCACGTAGGGTGCAGCTGGAAGACTCTACGCACGAAGCCCCAAACCCCAAACACAACGCCCCACCTGGGGCTTCGTAGACACATTCAACGCGGGCAACAATTAAGGTAGCCACAAAATGCTTAGAGAATAGGGTATACTGCACGACAAACCGGAGAATGAGGAACCCATGGGAACAACATTGTTGATTATCCAGGCCTGTCTCTGAGTTTCTTCAACCCTGAACCCGAACTCGAAACCCTACACCTAGGCCTTATACACAGTGTTCATGCTTGGTTGAAGGTCCCATAAGCGACGTATAACGCCCACCACACGACCCTAACTTCCGTTATCCGGGACCATAAACCCTAAGCCCTAAACCCTAAACCCCTAAATCCCTAAGCCCTAAAACCCTAAACCCTAAATCCCTAGACCCTAAACCCTAAACCCCTAGACCCTAAACCCTAGATCCTTATGTAACCCGAAGGAGCAAGCCCTGGCTTGGCACAGGCCGCAAACAGACGCTTCAGGATGACTGCCTGACGTCGAGGGTCTCTGGGCCTCAGGTGGGGGCCTTCCAAAAACCTAGGTTTTAGGGGTTTTTAAACAAGGTTTTAGGGGTTTTAAAGGTTTCTTTTTGGGGGGGTTTGCCTTGGGGTCTCGGGTTTTTAGGGTTCCGGGGTTTATGGGGTTTAGGGTTTGGGGCTTCAGGGTGTGGGGTGTCAGGATTTTGGGTTTCGGGGTTAACGGCATATAGGATGTTAAGTGGTGCTGCAATGACTCAGAAGCCCGCCCCATTTAGCCCTTTGGTTCAGAGTTCAGGGCTCTAAATCCTAAACCCCGCACCCTACCGAGGGCTCCGATTTGAGTAACGAAGTGGCTGATGTACGAGCAGATGAATATAGGGACCTAATATTTAGAATAGGGCTGTGGGATAAGTTCAACCCCAAAGTATAATATGAGTAAGAATACAAACAGTGATCGGGTTTAGCTAAGACATAGACATAAACAGGAGAATATCTTCCGCCTTGAGCCCACAGCCTGCAAGCGCAGGGTTAGACCCTAAACCCCAAACCCCAAACCCTAAACCCTTAACCCTAAACCCCAAACCCTAAACCCTACCCTAGACCCTAAACCCCAAGCCCTAAACCCTTAACCTACTTTGTCAGAATCATGAATCGATTTGCTTGGCCGGCACGCTGCAGGACATCGCGGCGCGTGCGGGGCAGACGGCCCCCCCCCATTTCAAGCATTCAAAGCACAGCGATGGCCGTGACCTGTGGTGTTGCATGACGTCGCTCTGAAATCCGATGCCCTGCAACAAAGCAAGCTCCACCGACTTTAGGTTTTTAGTGTTTTAGAGCTTTAGGGTTTTAGGTTTTAGGATCTTTGGGCTTTTAGGGTTTTAGGTTTTAGGGTCTTTGGGCTTTAGGGCTTTAGGGTCTAGGGTTTTAAGGGTTTAGGGTTTTAGGGTTTTTAGGGTTTAGGGCTGGGTTGGGTTTTCAGGGTTCCTTGGCTCTGGAGGTTTCTGAAAGGGGCGCAAGCTTGAAGAACCATCCCCCCCAACAAAACAAGGTTTAGGGGTTTAGGGTTTAGGGTTAGTACAGCAGGTTACTATACTTAATACGTATCTAGGTGGCAACTTGGGAAACTTTATGAAATTTCCTTATGGTTTCTATAGAGGTACCTATTCATAAATACTTTTTTCCAGGGCCGCAAATTTACAACCCAGATAACTACTTGTAGCACCAACTCAAGATGCCTGGCCTTGGATTCCAAAAAACAAAGGCATAACTGATCCTAGGGTTTGCGGCTTCGGGTTTGAGATAACTCATCCTTAGCCCATTTTCTTGAAGTACGAGCAACCCTACCCCAAAACCCGAAACATCCCTCAACCCTAAAACCCTAAACCCTAAGCCCTAAATCGTGGATTTAAGGTATATTCCTTCATTACCCGGCTTAGGAGTCTCCGGGCAAAGCCTGCATGAAGCTGGCGCCTTAAAACGGTTCAGGGGTTTGGGGGTTTAGGCTTTGGAGTTTCGGGTTTAGGGTTTAGGGGTTTAGGGCTTAGGGTTAGGGGTTTAGGGTTCAGGGGTTTAGGGGTTTAGGGTTTAGGGGTTTAGGGTTTAGGGTTTAGGCGAGCAAAAAAAAGACGAAGCAAAACATGGCGGCCTCAGATCGGAAGACGCTGCTTTACCCATGCCCTTTCTAGCAACAGTTAGTCGTATTCCCAGAGAAAACTTATCAATGCCACAGAGGACGCATGGGTCCAGAGCACCTCTGTGGAACAGGGATAGGACTAGTTCTAGAATATGGCGAGAGTAGCACCTTCCGAACAAGAGCAACCATGTATGTTTTCCGCCGTAGCCGCATTCCAGCTTCAAGCATCATGCAAAAGCAAGGGCTCGGCATCAAGACGCAAACAAGATTCGGAAGAGACATAAGAATAATCATGCACAGAAAAGGGCATAGATAGCACATGCAGCATCGCAGCAAATTCATAATTACCAACAATGCCTGCCGAAGCGAATCTACCGGCATGGAGGGGGGGCAAGTGTGTCGTACGACACGCCCTGCAGCGGCCTCAGCAAGAAACCAAAGTGCTACAAGTTAACACGCGATCCTGAATGCCATCAGGACCAAGGTCACCGTGGAAACGCTGTCCGGCAAGACAGCGGAAATCAAGGCGACCACCTGAGCGGCAGCCTCAAAGGATTCGAGCGTAGCACAATCTTGCACAGATGCTCTATAACTCCACCATCAGCGAGCTGGTGATTAGAGCGCAGCCGCTTCTCGGCGCGAGCCTTGGCAAGCCTGCGTCGAACTTCCAAGCCGACGACCATCTGAGCAGGTCTCAACAAAAACGCATGGGCCGTGTGTGTGGACAAGTCCACAAACAAGACGATCCACAAATGGGACTTGTGCAGGTCCGCCCTTCAAGTTAAGGCACCCTAAACCAGAAGCATAATTTAAGTGAAGCGCTCCTGCCAGGAAGCATCCGAACATCCAAATCATCATAACGAGGGAAGATTTGGAGGAAGAGGAGGAGTCGCTGTCCGGAGCCGAGCTCGCATGCATCTGTCTGGCTTGTACCCGCTCTCATGCTAACCAGGTCTTCCGGCTTCTACACGAGCGGTGAGGAAGACTAGCGTGAGACCATCCGCAGCAGTGCGTGCGCGGCGCCAAAAACCTAAAGACCCAGGGTTCCGAAGCAAACTTAAGATCCCGGAACGTACATAGGGAGGTAGCGCATCCTGTAGAGTTCTGTAAAGTCCCTGGGTGGGGAACAGCTCCAGTGCCTTCCGAAGGGAAGGTGGAATTGTCAGAGCAATTCCCAAGACTGAAGCCGAGCCCCTTAGGCTCTGAGCGTCAGGGCGGCGGTTGAACTCACTGAAAGGATGCATGGCGGGGACGAGTCATGACGGAGTTGCGAAGACCGAGAAACCGGCCCAAAGAAGATGCAACCGTGAGAAAGTTGCAAGAAGAATCCATGAAGGACCAAGCGCTTTCAACGCCTTCGCGAAACCACGTCGCCACCGAGTCCGCCAGAGTCCGGACAACAGTTAGCGAAACCTGAACAGCAGGGCAAGATGAAAGAACGCCTAGCGCAACTCAAAAGCAGACGAGCAAAAAAGACGATGCATGAAAGGACGGCCCCAGATCGGAAGACGCTGCTTTACCCATGCCCTTTCTAGCAACAGTTAGTCGTAGTCCCAAAGAAAACTTATCAATGCCACAGAGGACGCATGGGTCCAGAGCACCTCTGTGGAAGAGGGATAGGACTAGTTCTAGAATGGCGAGAGTAGCACCTTCCGAACAAGAGCAACCATGTATGTCTTCCGCCGTAGCCGCATTCCAGCTTCAAACATCATGCAAAAGCAAGGGCTCGGCATCAAGACGCAAACAAGATTCGGAAGAGGAATAAGAATGATCATACACAGAAAAGGGCATAGATAGCACATGCAGCATCGCAGCAAACTCATACCAACAATGCCTGCCAGAGTGAAGTTGCCGGCATGGAAGCGCAAGCGTGTCGAGGATTTAGGGGTTTAGGGTTCAGGGATTTAGGGGTTTAGGGGTTTAGGGGTTTAGGCTTTAGAGTCTAGGGTTTAGGGTTAAGGGGTTTAGGGCTTAGGGTTTAGGGGTTTAGGGAACAGGGGTTTAGGGTCTAGGGGTTTAGGGGTTTAGGGGTTGAGGGTTTTTGGGTTTAGGGTTTAGGGGTTTAGGGG